CCTCCCGTATTGCGTATCAGTCGGAACAGTCTTTGACTATTCCCTGATGAAGCTGCTACTTCCATTTCACTAGCTATTGTTGCCCACCAGTTCTCACGATCCTTCTTGAGGCTCTTCGTGGGCGGACGTTATAGATGCCACCTAATTCTTTTTTGATCCTGGCTGGTCGAGACTTGCCGTTTTTGCTCCATCAGTGCTACTGACTCCTGAGATATCCAATGCTTCCGNCGGGTTTGAGGCTCAGACCCACAAGCAACATTCGCTGTGGAATGTATCGAACACAAACTCGCTATCGCATCGAATTCAACTCAATAGGTTCCGTTGGTTAGGACACGTTTTACGTATGTCCGATGGTCGCCTACCGCAGTGCACCTTATTTGCAGTATCTGTTGCAGACTAGATAAAGCAATATGGAGGCCAGCAGATGACGTGGAGACGATGCATGAAGAAATACACAGCGATTAGGTAGAGTGGCTGTATCCCATCTTCCGGATTGGGGTCCAAAGACTCCGAGACTGCTTGGCTGAAGACACTGAAGGTCATGACAGCAAACCGACAGCAGTGGCGATCATGCTGTCACTTCTTATCTGACCAGAATGCTTGAAATAGTATGTATGCACAGCTGCACTGTGCTCTCTGTGTGTTGACCAAAGAGGTTCGCTTTCTTTTCCCGTCCCTAAAATGTGTCCAATCCTTGTCCTCTTTACTTATTCTCACTTACCTTGTATGCATTATGAGTTTGGCAGCGATCAGTCAAGCTCGCTTCACTGTATTACGCTCTACTGTGATGGTGATGATGATGCAGTAAACTTTTCTAGGGGCAGCTGGTTGATCCCAATTAACGCACTTAACCAATACTGGGCGGAGTAAAAATGACATAACAACACACTAGTTCCCTTAAGACCGATGACTAAACTCACAACAGTTTGTTTTATCATTGAGTTTCGCGATCAACGCACACGAGCGCATGAATGCTGCTACACACAGACCAATGAAATGCCCTGTAACATCATGTGATGCTAAATGATTGGTCCTTCTTGAAAACTTTCACTCACCATAAGCCTTGGGTTGTTCGATTGGACGTCTTACTAAACTGTCAAACAGACCGGGCTTCATGCTTATGAAGTATTACGTGGGATTCTCTTCAATCC